GCAGGGTTTAGTTCACAGTTGAAATCAAGAGCAAATGACTTAAATAAAATGGTGCAATTACTCCAGAAATATAACTCACCACACTCGTGTTAGCTGCACTCCAAAGAACGCATTCACTGCACTGGCCACTTTAGGTCAGGCACGAGATCTTTTAACAGGCACTTCCTGACAGATCACAAATGGTACTTTAAAGGTAGAGGTACCTGAACTGAGTTGCTCAGTTTAGATAACAGATGGGACAACAGTGTCGAGTCAGCGGATGGTAAGGTATCTGTTATCAATTCTGTTCTCATGCATTGAAGTTGTATGATCACTGCATTGACTTAGGGACTGCTATTTTAAGGGAATTTAAGTTGTGAAAAGAGGCAATCACTTCAACAACCCAAAAATAGTTAGGATACATGACAGATGCAGTTATGCAATAACTTCTGCAGATTAACCTTCCCTCTTTCTTCTGAGAATTTAAGTGTTTTGATATCACAGAATTTTACTAAGTAGGGTTCAGCATGAAAAGGCACAAGTTGAAGTAGTACACACAAGTCATCACAATTCTGCAGACAACAGTCAGGAGGTTAACTGCTAGCACAAGTGCTTCACTTGCCCTACATCAGACTATTTAAATTACTTAAGTTGTTCTGGAACTATACCCTTATACTACTTCTATCACTGCTAACCCAAGCCTTGCCCATACAACCATAATTTCTTACTCCTCTAGCTTGTGGCAAAACCAGTAGGACTTCTGTGTAATGAGACAAACTCACTTAGGAAGGAGCGTCACCAGTTTTCAGCTGGAACACTCTGTAGAGCAACAGCACTGATTTAACACAGGGTTGGAAAAAACTCACCTGCTCAGACTGATCAACTAATACTGCTATAAAATAATTAGCCATAAAATTTCAGGTTTTGATGAGGATTTCAAGTCCAAGTATCTGTTACGACTGAGAAAGTAATGTTTCCACTATCACATGCTGCAACTCCAGAGTTCTCAGACCCGTAAAAGGTCATGTCACTTAGTATCTTTTAGTAATTTGGTTTATACAATAAAGATCAGTATGGCATACCATCACAACAGTACTGGTTTCTGTTTATAGCCTGTCACAGGTAACTCCCACATCTAATTCTCTGGTGTTCTTCAAATAACCCTGTTAGAATTTTAGTAGACTGAAAAAGTCAGCCTTCCAAAGAATGCTATTAAGGCATATACTTCCATTATATGATCTAAACTTGCAGATGTAATACATCTTGCTATTGCTGAAAACAGAAAATTCCCATTTACACACTTGTATCACAGATTATCTTTCAGTTTATATCTCACATAGAAATAAAAAAAAATTTGTCCAGTACCTTTTGAAAAGAGTCTTCATCTGTTATATCATATACTAGAATAGCGCCATTAGAATCCCTGTAGTAAATCGGCCCCAATGCATGAAATCTTTCTTGACCAGCTGTATCCTGCATTTAAAACACACTTGTAAGCATTTAGGACAAAGCAAAGGATACTTCAAAAAACTCCAAATGCTTTGAAATTTTACTTTATTAAGCAGTGCATAACATTTGAGTTCTAGTAAATCTAATTTTTCAGGAAAATATTCTGTTTAGCTAGGGGAGGGAACACAGGAAAGTAAACATACCCATATTGCAAGATTTACTCTTTTCCCACCAATATTTAGCTTCTTTGTAAGAAAAGACGCCTGGAAAGCAAAACAGATTAGAGTTAAGTTTTACACACAAATGTCTCATTTGATTTCAGATTAATTTACTAATAAAAACATCTGAATCAATAAAAGACAGATTTCTGGATCAAAATACTCTTTAAGCCAGAAGGCTGAGTCAATACTAAGCCAGTTAGTCATTTCACTACCGCTTGCCAGAAGTCTGTTCTAAATAAATTTGGCTTAAGCCAATCATTTACTACATCTTTCTGCTGTTGTTTTGAATGATTTGGGAAGGATAAGAGAGTTGTGTGGAAAGAGTCTGAATTCACAACACTGATAAGCCTAAACTGAACTCAAAGCATTTCACAAGAGTACATAAAGTTTGGGTAGGAACCAGCTTAACAGGATTTTTACTTTGCAGGAATTAGGCAAAGTAGTTCACTATTAGCGAGCTATTAGAACAAAATAAAACAGTCTTGGTTTATCGCTGAAAGTCTCAGAATATTAGTATTCTGCAAGTTTCCTTGTCTGTATCTTTTTGTTTCTTTTACTGAAGTGAGCCCACAACCCTCCCCATCTGTTTTGGGGGACTTTTTGGGTGCAGTGGTATGGTTTGTTTGGTTTTCTTTTGTTGTTGGTTTGTGTTTCCCCCACACAGACACACACTGTTCCTGGGAGCTCAGTGATACGCTTCTCAGCTAACAAAAAAGGAAAGCAAGTGGCAGGGTAAGAAAAGCCTTAGAATAACCATACAAGCTGCTTTAAGAATTCCACTACATTATCTTCTGAAAACAGGACCAGAGCATATTGCAAGGTTAGTCTAATTTCAGTAACCAAAGAGTGTGTCTGTTCTTCTCCAAGTCTGCATGATCCACATTCTCAAACACTGCCTCTGGTACCAAGTGTGTAATTCGGTGGCTAAAAAAAGGGTATAATTTGACACAAGTTTAATAGGCTAGAACAAGGTCTGAAGGAGCTGATACATTAGGAACCTGCTCCCCTGTTCTAAAGGCTAGCAGTAACAAGTTAACATCAGACAATTCAGTTGCCAAGGGTTAACTTTTGTCTTTTGCCTTAAATTATACTCAGTTTTCCTTTCAGCTTCACCTCAACTGGCATTTGAATACAAACAAGTACTCAGTGGTATTTTACCATACATTCATCCCAGATTATTTTAGGCTGGACTGTAGCACCTTCACATGAGCTCTCTGTACAAGCACTGCCCAGGCACTGAACTAACTAAAAGTAGGTGGACAGTGCCAAGGGCCAGACCAGCTGCTTGAACCAGCTCGCTGCTTAACTACACAAGCAACCAGTACACACGCAGAAGACCATGGTAGCTCATTTACACCAGCCTAAACCGCTGTGAGTGTGTCTCACTGGCATGCTGTCTGTATTACGGTTAAAGTCAGCCCCAACACCCAGCTGCTAGAGCAGCTCCTGCTCTTCAGCTCTTTCCCCAACATCAGCTCTGGCATCTCTGCCACCTAAGGTGAGATGATCCAAGAAACTTTTCTTCTTTTTTGAAGTAAATTGTACAAAGCTTTCCACAAAGTCTGATAAACAGAACAGATAGAAGACAGACCACAGGAAAGAAAAACACACTCAGAAACTCTCCAAGAACAAAGAACTTATCATTATGACCATTGTATTCAACATAACTAAAGCATTAATGCTACCCCCTTCAGCCCACAGTGAGGTGGCATAAGTCATCTTCAGAAAAAGGTCCAGACAGCATGTTAAAAGTATTTAACACTCTAGTCAACTTGCAACAAACAGTTTAACAGCAGAGTAGTAAATCTTAAACACCAGGAAAACTTTAACTCTTTAATCAAACACTCTGCAGAAAGTTTATGGCTTTCAGCTAGCTGTCCCTAAGGATTATCTGATCAGTGTCTAATCTTCACATCATAACTTGTTCTACTACACTGGAGTTCAAAAGCCAAAAGCTTAGAGGTGACTTTAGAAGTGTCAATTCACCAACAGCTGGGCCACATTAAGGGAAGGTACGGTTAGGCCCAATGAACCAAGCTGGGCTGGCAATACTTTGTTGATCTGCTGTACTACTACAGTACTTGATAGTCTATTGTAAGCCTCAAAGGAAAAGCTCTTCTGAGCACTGTTGGCTTTTGTCACATCAACAGTTGATATGAATTTCACATAAGTGTTTGAGAATCACATTTCTGGACCAAAAGGCAGAAAAATCCTTCACGGAAACAGGATTTATATTTAAAAAACCCCACAAACTCAGTATCCATAAAGTTATATCATCATGGCTTTAGACATTGGCCCAATTAATAGCACAGATACCTTTACTATCTGACAGAGCAAATATTAAAGTAGGCTTATCCCCATAGATAAGTTCTGCTCAAGTACGACCAGTCCTTGAGCTCACTACAGCTTTTGTGCAATACTGTCTTTTAGCACTACAAGTAGAGTATTTCCTTTCCTGTATACCCAAGTATTAGAAGATCAATACATTCAAGTAAGGCTTTTTAGTACCTCTTGCAAAAGAAAAAAAAATATCACAGGAGACTGTGGCAAGGGTATTTAACACTGGGCTATTGTACTTGCTCTCTGTATTAAAACTTGACGATTTGTACTAATTAAGTTTTAGTCTACCTAAAGTCTTAGGCTCCTAGCCAAAAAAGAAGAGACAATATCCTGTATCAGACACTAATTAAGTTTTAGTCTACCTAAAGTCTCAGGCTCCTAGCCAAAAAAGGAGAGACAATATCCTGTATCAGATATCCTGATTACAAGCACGTTTGTCTAAAAAGCTTGCCCGATAACAAGACTGGAACCTGGTATTTGAAGCAGCCATGGTTGGTAATGTGCAGAAGACTTTGTGAACATGCTGTGAGAAACAGTCAAGACTATATTACAGATTAAATGCTTCACCCTTCTTCCTCGTGTTCACATACTTGAAGAATACTGTTAGCAAGCTCCATTCTTGAATTAATAGGTATGGGTAAGTTTGGCATATTTACCATCAGTAAAATGCATTTGACAGCCACAGCGGCAAACATGCCAAAGAGAAACCACCTAATATCTACCTTTAACACACATAACCCCACCCCTCTTCAAGTTCCATTTGCCTCACGGAAGAGCAAGGTTCCTACTCTTCACTCATTCTGAGGTTAGAGAGCAAAAAAATTAATCAGATGAACAGCAGAACTACGCAGTTTTCAGAAATGTGGAGGGAACCCAACATGGAAGGAAGAGCCTTAATCACCGTTTTGAGATAGTTTAGGAGCCTAGCTTAGGGAAAAAGTCAGCTGCCAAGAGTGTCAAAGCCTTTGAAATCAATACAGTCTAGACAGCATTAGGTAATTACACATAGAAGATGGAACATTTTTCCTAATCTCCCAAGAATTTACCAAATTCAGTACTACAGATTTAAGTCTGAGTTGTGACTTGACTTACAATCAGTAACTCCTTTCCATATTATTTTCATTATTATTATAATTCATTTTTGCTAGGAATTTCAAAACCCCATAAATATACAGGATCACACTTAATTCAAAGATAAGAATCTCAAACAGCTCTTTGAAGAAAGCTACTAATTTTGCTATTTTGAGTCTAGTGTCTTATGACTGGTCTGAAGAATACTTCTACACTTAGAAGAAAAGGATAATGCAATTGTAAGAGCTAAAATTCCATTCTCTTTATGTCCCTGCAGAAAATCTTTTCTTTCTTTTAAGAGCTTAGTGTCACATGTCCATCAGGCCCTATTAGGAGCTGATAAAGTGGCCTGAGTAGGACACAAGGGACACCCAGTGCAGAAAATCTTTTCTTTCTTTTAAGAGCTCAGTGTCACATGTCCATCAGGCCCTACTAGGAGCTGATAAAGGGGCCTGAGTAGGACACAAGGGACACCCAGCTGGAAAACATTCTCTCGAAAGTCACTGAATAAGAGCAGGTGTATGTCACCTGCCTTGACTGCTTCATCTTCAACAGAGGCAAGCCTGGCACAGGAACACCGCATATAAGCACTGAACCTCCTTGCACTGTCTTAGCCAAGAGAGCTTTTCCAGGTTATGCAAGTCCAGCAAAGCAACCAGGATCTGTATAGTATGATTAGCATCACATCAGCAGCTCGCTTGGGTTGGATATTTTGCAGTCCTCCACACGTTTTGAGAGATTAGTACACAAAAGTTGTATTTATCTTGAGTAATTAACTAACAAAAAGTGTCTACCCAATTTTTTTTAAAAAAATAGTTTGACAGTATGCTTATTATTGGAGTCATTCCAGCACAGTTCACTTAAAATAACTCTAAGCTATAAATTGGTATTATCAAGATGAGAGCACTAACCTCAATATTTCAAATCAATGGGAACCAATTCCAACTGTCCCACCAGGTCTGACAACAGGTTATGGATTGTGTTCATCACTTGCAGAAAACCGTACCTTCCCTGCATCAGCTTTTTCACGTTATTCTAGATAAATGTTTTCTTATGTGTATCAGTAGCTGCCTTAATTTCAATTTGCAGGGCATCAGTATTTTAAGTACATGACTTGAAGCTAACATAACTACAGCAACACATCCCAGCAGCCTCCTAACCTCAAAGGAAGTTCCAGGTCACCATTTCCCTCTAGCTAGCATTTAGGGCAGGGGGGTGTGGAGAGAAGAGAACCAAATCCCTTTTAGGGAAAGCATTTTGGTACTAGCACAAAAGCAGCTCTCCTATTTGGGTGTATACAGGTTAGCTTCACAACAGAATAATATTTAAGTGTACATATATTTAAGTAATAATACTTAAGTTTCCAGAAAGCCACAGTCTCACCATCCTTTTTGTTGCAATCATACTGGAATACAGCACTACGCAGTACTATTTTTTTTTTTTCTAAGTCAGAGATTACTGTGGATGGAGAGCCTCTTGTCTCAGGATCTAGTGATCTTTTCATATGATTCATCACTGTGGCTCGTTTGCTGAATCAGGAGCTAAGTATTTACTTTTGTTCCAATAAAACCAAAATTAGATAATTTGGTGCAATACTGTGAACTGATGCCATGAAACAAAGCCACCTTATC